TTTTTTTTTTTTTTTTTTTTTTACCTTTGCATTTGTATCCTTGTTTGATTATACCCCAGAGCTGTAACAAAAGAGAACTGAATGTTAGGACATCTGAAGAGAAATCTGGAAGGCAAACCGGGCCCCAGCAAAGGAAGTCCTCGGATGCTTCAGGACTGAAGGGCACAAACAGGATGTAGCTGCTCTTAACACCCTTCCTGTGGGAGAGAGGAGCCCTCTGCAGCCCACGCCAGCTGTGGTGATAACATGGGTTCTGCTTCCCTTTTCTTCCCCGGAGCCAAATGGGAGGCGGAGTGGGAAACTACATGCGCTGCTGGGCTTTGATGGAATTTACAGGAGAGAAGACTGCCCGGTCTCCGGAAGCCCCTCGTTCCCTCTGCCTTCATTTCCGTGACACTAGCTGCTGCTCTGGGCCCCTTAACGGGAAATACAGCAAACTGAGAGGTACACTTATTAATCTGGATTTTGGCACTCATTTTCTGAGTATTTGTAGTGCACTTTGAATACAGAATCGATCTTCATTATTCACATATTGAGGCTCCTCAGTTTGCTCTGTGCGTGGTTTTTGCCAAGCTAAAGTCAGGTAGAAAAGGCTCGGATTCTTCCCACCACAGTTAATAAGTAAGAAGTGATCGTGAAATAAAAATTATAGGCAGTCATTGTTTTGGACGAGGGTGCTGCACTGGGATCCAGCGGACCAGACTATAAATCAAAATGAAGTCACTGATGAAACCAAGAGGAAACTAAGCTTTGTACCCAACCTTCCCAGAAACCAGGAGAAATTGAGAGATAACTGCCAAATTTCCCAAAGAGGCCAGTTTCAACTTCATGGTAACGAAGTTCCCTATGTCTTCATCCTTCCACAGTCTGAAGGGAACCAATGAGTTATTTCTTTATTCTTTATGTCTCTTTTCCCTGCCTCACCAGGAAAGTAACTTGGATACAACCAATCTGCTTTTTGTTCTTTATTTCTGCTTTCTTCAGCTCTTTTCTGTCCATAAAACCAACCTCTCATGCCTGGTTCTCTGGGCCATTCATTCTACTTTATAGAAGAAATAGTGTCTGGTTCTACAATAAAAACTAAAGCCAAGTAGCTTGAAGCCAAGGTACTGTAATGTTCCGATTTGTTCAACATGACACACGGCCAGGAGAGCTTTGAGGGCTAGGCATCAATAGAGAGTCTGCCTGGGCAGCTCAGGAAGTGTCCTGGGTGGTATCTTTGCTCCTGACAGATTCCTTCTAGAGCCACGAGGAAGGTGACCTTGCCATGTTCCTCCTTTGCCCCCCAGCACTGGCACATGGGCACCATGAACACCAAACAACTATAGTACTGGGCTGTGTTCAGCAAAATGGGCTTAGCTCAAGTTGGAAAAGCTGCCTGCCCAACCTAGTCCATGGTTAGGTTAGGTGGGTTCTCTTTACTTAATAAAATGATGTTGAAAGAAGCAGGGCCAGCGGCCTCCTGGGCAGGTGTGGGTACTGTCCCCAGTGTATCAATGGCACTGGGCAACATGGCCTTCTCAGAAGAGTCAGCAGTTGCTAAGGAGCAACTCAAGGACATCATTAAGATGGCTTCTTAGCCGGGCATGGTGGCGCACACCTGTAATCCCAGCACTTGGGAGGCTGAGGCAGGAGGATCGCTGTGAGTTCGAGACCAGCCTGGGCTACATAGTGAGTTCCAGGTCAGTCTCAACTACACAGTGAGACCCTGTCTCAAAAAAAAAGAAAAAAAAAGACAGCTTCTTTCCTCTCCTTGACTGTCAAACTCTACCAATGGAAAGCTCAAAAGATTCCCCTGAGCCTTCAAAGTTACTTGGGGGAACAGGAACATAGAGCCCTGGAGAATGGGAATATAAAATAAAAATATAATAGAGATGGAGGGAGGGGGAAGGGAAGTAAAAAAGATTAAGATATCATATATTTGTGTACCAACTCCCCAAGATCAAGTATTCATTATGTGTTCTCAAACATATACTAACTTGAAATTTTTTTAAAAAAATAAACTTAGTAGACAGTTGGGTGTGGTGGTGCACACTTATAATCCCAGCACTCTGGAAGGCTGAGGCAGGAAGGTCACAAGTTCAAGACTAGCCTGAGCAACTTAGTGACTCAGCAAGATAGGAAGGACTATTGGAAAACTAGTGGGTAGCAAGGCTCAGGAGTGGAGAGGAGACCAGAAGAGAGATGGGCACAAGAAAGGGCTGTGAGTGGCGAGGACAGTCACATCTTGCCGTGAACTATGAGAATTTTTAAGGTGATCCAGCTGGCTTCTCCTTTGTAAAATGTGAGCGTGATGATCCAGGGAATTAAATAACTTTACAAGGGCCCACAGCCTGGAGCACTCTAGAACAAAAATTGTTCTGACATGTACTGAACTCCTGCTATGTGAAAGGCACAGTTTTAAGCCCTTTGCCTAGAATAACGCACTCAGTGCTCATGTTTTCCATACAGGAATAATATTTTCCACATTTTCAGATAAGGACTCTGACGTACACAGAGGTGAAGTCACTTGGTGGGGTCTCGGCTAGTGAGTAGGGACAGAAGCATGTGTCACCTAAGGGAAACACAGGGAGCCATTGCTTCTGGGTGTCCCTGTGAGTGAGCAGAGCCATGGGTAGGACCAGAAAGGACATGAGGTAAGAGGGGGTTTCCTAAATGCAGGTATAGAACCTCACAGCACAGCTGCAGGCCCTGCTGGACAGTCTGGTCAGCGGGGCAGGGGGGGACAGTACTAATGCTCCTTTAAAAACCAGAACACCAACCAGGAAACTCACTTGGGTGAGTGGGCCAGCCAAGGACAGCAGGAGGTGACCTCATGTAGATGGGTGTGTGGGAGGATTTCCCACGGTCCTCTGTCTGCCGTGATGTTTGGAGGAGTTCTCTCTGGTGTAAGGGGCACTGGACTGAGAGTCAGGAGACCTAGCTATGGCTCCCAGTCCTGGTTCCACTGCTAATAATCTGTGTGACCTCAAGGAAGTCACTTGACTTCTCTAGATCCCAGATTTTCATCTACAAAAGACCTGTGATAGGCGGGCGTGGTGGCACACGCCTGTAATCCCAGCACTAGGGGGGGCTGAGGCAGGAGGATCGCTGAGTTTGAGACCAGCCTGGGCTGCATAGTGAGTTCCAGGTCAGGTTCAACTACATAGTGAGACCGTGTCTCAAAAAACCAAACAAACAAACAAAACAACAACAAAAGACCTGTGATCAGGGATAACCAATGCCTTTCACTTCTGGAATCCTACTTCTGAAATAAATACACTGCAGGGTAAGTGGTTTCTGTTGGTGTCTTTCTTCCCTTTGAAGTGGAATTTATGTCCAGAGCAGATAATCCAGGCACTGGAAGAGTGGTTCCTTCTGTTTCCTCACAATACCTTTATGTGACACACCTTTAGGGTTCTATTTGGAAATTCCTTTGAAAACCAATGCACTTTTTAATGTATGTGAATGGAGACCAGATCAGATGTACCAACTGGATGAAGGGAGACAGGATAGAAGGCTGGATAGCAAGGTCAAGGAGAGACCCGAAGAGCTGGTAGGAGCCTCTGACTCTCATAGCCACCAAAGGACAGATGGGCCATCCTGACTTGGCTGAGCTGCGCCATGCCTGACAGCCTGACCTCTGTCCAGTGGGTCCCACTTTGCAGGACGGTGTCACACACAGCCCCATCCTGCGTCAGCATTTGGGGTCTAGATACTCCCTAAACTTCCCATCAGAATAGAGAACTGGAGACCCACGGTGCATTCATTTTACAATAAAGTGGTTGGTGATGTGCTCCAGAGGAAGACACCACGTGAAGAGGAAGTTCTCCTTCCCTGGAGTGGGTAGGGAGAGTGAGTAGGCTGTCCTTGACCCTTGACCACAGGAGCTGCTATGACCACTTTGAGCTGATCTTTGCTGAAAGAGCTGTCTCTTATTTACCACTCTCAGAGGTGGGTGTGCTTGAATAGAAACTCCACTCTTGGGCTTCCCAATGCCATTTTTTTTTTTTTGAGATAGGATCTCACTATGTAGCCCAGGCTGGCTCCAAACTTGTGGCAACCCTCCTGCCTCAGCCTCCCGAGTGCTGGGATTATAGGTGGGTACCACTATGTCCAGCTCCAAAGGCAATTCTTCAAGAATGGGATGGGAAAAATATAATATGATGGTAACATAAAATACCAAACAAACGTTCAGTGGGTCAATACTGGGACATGATGCTGAATACAGCTGACATAAGTGAGCTCCAGTATTGAGAAAAATCATCCTACTCACTTGTGTCCTGGGCCGCCATCAACTGAAATATATTTGTCATTTTCTTGAAGCTGGGTATTAACTAGAAAACAGGCAGAGCCCAACAGCCTCTGTCTAAGGCCAGGGCCAAAGGCTGACCCCACTTTCCAAAGAATTACAAACATGGGGGACAAAGTGTACAATCTTCAGGTGTCCCTCTGGGGTGGGCCGAGAGTAGGACTGAGACTCAGAATTTGTGTTTAGGTCTCAGCTCTGGTAGTTATGAGCCACAGGCCCCTGGGACCTGGCTTAGCCTCTCTGCCCTTCTCTATCTTATAGACAAAATTAGAGGAGTAAAACAGCTGCCGCAAGGACTGACTGTGAGAATCGATTATATTCACGTCCATGGAAGTAGTCTGTTACTGTTGAGGGTTAAGTAAATGGTATGTATTATGGTAACCATCTTCTCTCCAAAAGATGTTTCTCCTTTTAGAGTTGAGAATTTTGAGCCATGCCATGAAGGATTTCTCCTGACATTAATGCCATATAGATGAGTACTAGAAGGAACTAGCTACGACGAATGCTCCCACTAACAGCAGCCACTTACGAACACTGGCAACAAATGCCAGGCCTCTGGGCTGACCGACACCTTTCTCCTGGTAGCAGTTAGCAGACAAATGGTTCTCTCCAGCTAAGAGGCTTCCCTTCCTCGCCAGCACTGTATTCTTAGAACATAGCTAAGCTCACCGATCTTGCTTTTGCTTTTATTTAATCCTTAATTTCATGGAACCAGCATGTTTTACTTCAGATCAAAAGCAGAACATGGCCTCTGTTTAGTGTGCCATTTTCCTACTTTTTCAGAATGCTGCAAAAATAACCGCACACAACAGAAACAAGACTTACGAATCCAGCACAGTGTTCACAGAAGGTTGGCTTGAGATAGGTCATCTCCTGAAAGTTATGGATAAATCCTGGTCCCATTTTACAGTGCAGTTGGGATTTGGCTCTCAGGAAATAGGCCATCATTTCGTCTTTACTGATCAAGCCATCCCTGTTAGGACAATCAAAGAAGAGAAGCACCCTTGAATTCCATATGGCTAAGTAGTTGCCACACTTCAATTACCCACCTTCCAAAGCTTTGTGGCCCAAAGCAGATGAGAATATTCATTGGCCTGTTACTTCTGAAAGAAGGAGAGGGCCTTAAAGGACAGCTTCAGGTGTTCAAAGCCTTTTTCAGAAAGTATGCAGAAAATTACGCACTTGTAAAGGCAGCGTAAGTGAGTCGGAGTGTGTGGGACCATGCACATAAGTGCATACATGTGGAGAATGTCTCCCTCCTTCCTCAGGAGTAGCTTCCGGAAGGGCTTCCTTCTAGCCCTTGCCTAGCAATAGGGTTGCACGGATGAAGCTGTGGCTGGAGGTGGGGAAACTGTACTAACTGGGCCTGATGTTCTCACATCTATTCAGCCTCACACCGTGAAGGCTGCCTGCTGGGTGATCTTTCCATTCAGCTCTCGCTGCTCAGAGCCTAATGATTACAGCAATTCTTATAGATCTTCCCCAAATAGAACTAACGTTTAATTCCACCCACCTTGCTCCCCACCCGCCCCAGTTCATTACATACTCTGGCTTTTTTCTCAAAAAAGATCAAATCTACTTGACATAGGTGAGCTCCACATTGTCCTCTCCTCACTGTCAGGTATTGGAGCCCCTACCCTTCCTGGCTAGTTCACGGTTTCTATCTCCTCTGTCTTCTCCTGGGTCCTCCTACGGCACAGGAAGGGGTGCTCTCATCTCCATTTTTCAGCCTCTGCGGGATTCTGCACCTTCCAGGATCTGCTCAATCTCTTCATCTCTTTCATCCTCTGTTTGCAAATACACTTGAGACTTTTCAGCGTAATAAATCCCTTTCCTCAGGCTTGCTGTCGTTTCACAACTGTCTTGTCTTCTCTCCTTTGTATCCCCAAAGTTTTTTAAAACAGTCTTTATCAGACTGCCCACTTCCATCCACATTATTATGGTTTCTATCTAGACGTCCCACCAAAGCCTCATTTGCTCGTAGGTGTGGCTTACGGGAGGTGATTAGATCACGAGGGTGTGAAGCTCAACAGCGGATAGGTCCACTGGGAGGCAAAGCCTGATTGGAGGAGATGAATCACTGGGGGCGTGGCTCGGAAGGGTCGCTCTCCCTCCTCCCTTGGTCCCCTGTGATTTTTCTCACAGCCAGGCAATGACCAGTTTCTCCTCTGCTATGCTGCTCTGCCTTGGAATCAGCTGACTATGCTACAAACATAGCTGCAAACTGTAAGCCAAAAACCTTTCCTCAAGTTGTGGTATTATGTCTCAGCAACAAGAAGGTAACTAAGACAATCCATTATTCCTCACACAGGTAAGATTCTGAGCCTGTATTCTACTGACACTGTGACGGCAGACATTCTCAGTAGCCTCTCCCCAAGGACTCTGCTGACCTCCGCAGCATGTCACATGGGAACGTGTTTCCTTCTGACACTCTCCCTATGTAGACCCTGTGGTTCCGTGTTGCACTGGTTCGTCTTCCTCTCTAGCTCCCCCTTTTTCTGGTTCTTCTTCAGGATCCATTTATTGCCTTCAGACAGTACACGTAGAAGTGAAGTCCCTGAGGGCTTATTCTAAACATAAGCATTTAAGATCTCTTTCTTATCTCATATGCAAGATAATTTAAATAATACCTGATACAATGTATTGATTTTATTTCCTATTAACAACATTTTACTGATAAAATGTATAAAAATTGAAGAGTCATTCCATGTCTTGTTCTTTTTGTGTGTGTGTGACATAGCCCAGGCTGTCCTTGAACTCTCAGTGATCTTCCTGCCTCAGTCTCCCAAGTATTATAGGATTATAGGCATGTGCTGCTATGCCCAGCTGGCCTTAAGAAGAACAAGTTTTCCTGCAATCTCTGCGTTTAAACATAAACACACATAAGGAGCCTGGTTTCCTGTTGAGAGCACATTAATGGAAACAAATTGTGTATAGACCAGGAGATTACAGATACATCGAGATAGATATAAATATAGAGAGGCTCACTGGGTTCACAGCCCAGGGTCGCACTTACTAGAATACAAAGTGAACAGGGCCTCTGGAGCATAATCATAGGCAGCAGCTCTGGCTTAGCCCTTCCATAGCTTAACAGAGAAATTTAGAGCAATGCTTGTTACCTAACATGAGCATTACCTTTCATCATATAAATCTATTACTATTGGAGTTATATCTAAAATGTCCCCCCAGGGACTGGGGATTTATCTCAGTGGTGCTGCCACCTGCTTTGCAAGCCCAAGACCTGAGTTTGATCCCCAGTACTGAAAAAATAAAATGCCCCCCCAAAGGCCCATTGTGTTGAAGGCTGTAGAAGGCCTTTTAAGAAGTGACTGGATCATAAAGGCTTTGGTGGACTAATCTACTGATGAGATCACAATTGGAGGGCATTACCGGGAAGTGACAGAAACAGGAGGTGGGGCCTAACTGAAATTAGTGGATCATGGGGACAGGGCCTTAAGGACTATATCTAGGACCTGACCGCTTCCAACCTGGCTGCCTCTTGTACTCTGTTTCCTGGCTGCCATGACGTGAACAGCCTTCTTTCCACCATGATATTTCTGTCTTGCTACAGTCCTAAAAGTAATGGAACCAATTACTATGGACTAAAACCTCTGAAACCACGAGCCAAAATAAATCTTGCCTCCTTCAAATGTATTTATATCCAGTATTTTATCACAGCAGAGGAAAGCCGACTAACACTGTTACTATCAGGTAGCTGCCCAGGTAGGAGCTACATTTTCCAGCCCCTTTCAGTTTAGGAGGAGGTCATGTGATTACTAATCACTAAGCCAATTTAAAAAGATGTACACATCTCCAAGATTGAAGCCATCAAGATGTAAATTGCAGGTTTTCCTGTTCCCCTCTGGTAATTTTTTGCTTTAAGACAGTGATATTAAAATATAACAGAATTAAAACTTACTGATCTTTGTCTAGTACACAGAAGGAATCCAGGAAGGGGAAGTTGGCAGCTATACTTTCAAAGTCCTCTTGGGAGATGTACCCATCGTGGTCATGATCATAGTTCCTAAACACAGACTGCGAAAGAAAGACAGTATTTACTGAATGGCATTTTGACTTGTTATTTTGAAAGCAATGATAGCATATTATCCTTTCCATCGAGTGGCTTAGAATCTAGCAGGAGAGAGCTAAGTCTGAAAGCCTTTACAACACACAAGGGTAAGTGACTTGTGGGTGATAAAAATACAGCCCCTTGAAGTAGGGATGTAGATTCAGAAAGATTCTTAGAGAAAACAAAGTCTAAACTGAGACCTCAGGGTTGAGTAGGACTAAGGCTTGGGGAACTAACACCGTAATGATAAAAATACCAAGCTTCCGTGTTAAATTATCTCAGAAACTAGAAGTATATGTTTAATGCAATTCCAATAATCCCAGTGGGAATTTTAAATTCTTTATTTACCAATCATCTATTCATCTACCTACCTGCCTACCACTCTGCCTATTTTGACAGAAGGTATTTGTTTTAATTGCACATGCTATATCTAAAGTTTAAATAGAGGGCTGGGGATTTGGCTCAGTGGTGCCGCCACCTGCCTCGAAAGTACAAGGTCTTGAGTTTGATCCCTGGTACCAAAAAAAAAAAAAAAAAAAAAAAAAAAAAAGCGTGGTGTGAATCCCGGTGAAAAAAAAAAAAAAAAAAAAAAAAAGAAAGAAAGAAAAAAGTTCAAATAGAAATGAATACGTTAATAGCTTAAATTTGTTTAGAATAAGTTATAATAAGAAAGAACATGCCCTTTCAGAAATGAACCACTCTGTAAGTCTATTTTTATCAAAACAACATAATACAACTTACTACAGAGAATGAAGTCTTGAAATACATTCATGAAATATTAAAAAGTATGTTTTCAAATTCACAGGGAAATTATGGATTATCCAATAACTGCTGTTTTAATGGCTAATAATCTTACAAAATCAACTGTCCCCAAACTAAACTCCATATGCATTAAATATTTTAATGTGATAATAATAATAAAGCTATAAAAATAACAAAGGAAAGACACAAGAAGCTTTTTTATGTTTCAAAATCTTTGAGTGGGCAGGGGCTGGGGACTCACCTCCGTGGTTCTCCACCTGCCTTGCAAGCTCAAGGTCCTAAATTTGATTCCCGGTACCAAAAAAAAAAAAAAGACATTTCTTTCAATGAGAAAAAAATATCTTTGAGTGGGAAAGGTTTGTCTTAGCATGACATTAAAGTCAGAAGACAAATATATTTTATTAAAATAACATATATGAAGCAAAAAAAGCTCAAGATAAGTAACAGCAAATTATTTGCAACATGAGAGAGCAAAGGCACAAAAGTAAAATAGGCAATCACCAAAGTAAAAAGGCAAAGGGCCAATCCGTCCATGGAAAGGTACCCAACTCTATGAAAATGCATACAAAACTTCTTTTTAAAAATCTCTCCGGTTGGAAAATATTAAATTTTCCCCAGATATGAGACACTAGATGCACTTGGAACAAGAAGGTGAAGTAAACAGCCAGTCTTCCGGGGCAGGCAGGCCCTTCCTTCCTCACCTGCCCTGGCTGAAATTTGGTTCTGTCACTGCCACATCATGCTGAGGCCCCCACTGGACTTTAGGGCCATCTCAGCCCCTCCCTCAGGAGAAATCTCCCAACTGCTGTGAAAATACACAGCAAGTAAAACTATCCAACTCGAAGGATATATCCCTGCCCTCAAGTAATTTAATTTTGGTGACAGACATATTGTGACCCAAATGGGTTTTCACGCATGATTCTAATTCCCCAAAAGTATATCAAGTAGAAAGAAAGGAACTGCAAGTGGCTGAGAGTATGTGGGCAAAGAACACACTGCCAAGATGGACAGGGGGTCATTCCGATAGATTCTCCCCTGAAGGCTAAATTCGTCCCATCTGCCAGAGAGCTGATTTCATGGGCTTCATTGGGTCCGTGAAATCTAACTCTGGGCAATCACAGAACATTCTAGAAAGAGAAAGGAGCATTCTAGTGCTATGTAGTCTCCCTCAGTAACCTACCTCAACTAATTTTCTTATGTGCTTGTTGATGACCGTGGGGTCTGGCTTTGGCATCACCCCAGATGCCCAATCCAGGGGCACCACAGTCTTAGTGGGCGTCGTAGGGGAGGTAGGCTGCTGAAAGAAAGCACACACATTTATCAGCGCAACACTTTTTCACCACTAGGACTAGGGACACTGAGAGAGACAGTTTGTATATTAATAACACTGGTGAAAACTTACATTCACATAGACTAAACTGTTCATTAAACAATCATCCTCTGTGAATGGAATCTGTTCTGTAAGTAAATACGTATTTTGATAGACTATCTTGTTCAATAGCAGGGTAAAGGGGTTCCCCACTCCCCTTATGGGTCAAAGAACTGAACCCAGGGTCTTCACACTGAGCTACATCACCACCCTTTTATTTGTTTGTTTTTAGTACCAGAGATCAAACTCTGGACCTTGCACTTTCAAGGGAGGCAACGGAACCACTGAGCTAAATCCCCAGCCCATCCTCACCCTTTTTATTTTGAGACAAAGTTTTGTGAAGTTGCCCAGGCAGGGCTTGAACTTGTGAAACTCCTGTCTTAGTCTTCCAGAATGCTGGGATTACTACATAGGCAGTTCCACTATTCTTAAATGCAGAAAAATAAAGCCCTCCCAGCCCATCCAAATAGCCTACCCAAGTTCCCCAAATATCACTAAACCATCCTTTTTTATGATTTGTGTTTTATTTCTTATACATGCATATAATACATTTTGATCACATGTATCCCCTTCTTACCCTCCTTCTCCCCCTTATTCTTGTCCTCTTGTCTAACAATAGTCTCCCTCCTTTCAGATCATGTTGGTTTTGTTTTAGATTATATGTATTAGGGAAAACATGTAATACCAGTCTGAGTCTGGCTTAAATCTCTTTCTCTCTTTTTTGTGGGGGGGGTACTGGGGATCTAACTCAGGCCCAAACTCTTCAGCAGTGTGTGCTGAAGCACTACAGTGAATTCAGAGGGCACAAAAAGATATTGCAAACTTCCAAGTGAAATCCGGTCATCCTTAATATGTTTTTGGTTTTTCTTTGTGTGTGTCTGTGTGTGCGTGTGTAGTACCGGGGATCGAACTGGGGACCTTGCACTTGAGAGACAGATGGAGGAACCACTGAGCTAAATCCCCGGCCCCATGACCTCTGTGTCTGATGGAACTGTCTGCTCAGACTGGCAAAACCTCATCCTAAAACTGAAACAGACCTAAAGGAGCACAAAACACACGACTGTGCGGAAATGGCCTTTCCCAACTTGCTCGTGACAGGAGGGATGGTGGAAAAGGCCCTGACCTTGAAGATGAGCCTGGGACTGAGCCCCAGTGGTAACTTCCTGACTGCGAGACCTCCATAAGGCACCTGCGCTGCTCAGGCCCGGTTTCTCAGCTGCCAGGATAGCAGCAATCATGACGCCTGGTGAGGGAGGCCGAGGTGAGAAATCTGCACACAGGCGCCGTGAGGCTTCGCACACAGGCTCCTTGAACACAGGGACGAGGCAGGAGCTTGCAAAGTCCTGCCCTGTAGCTTTGCCTTTCTTTCTAGATCTCTCTTCGTCCTGCTAACTCGAACAGTCTGGAGAACCTAGCCCCAGTGCCTGGGCCGCGCCTCCCTGCTGCTCTGCACGGTCCCTGGGGACAGTGGAGGGGCCCTGCGGGTGGAGCTGAGCCACAGGTGCTGCCCGCCCTGACCCAGGCTTGGGGGCCAGAGAGCAGCTTCAGTCCCCTGCTGCCCGTATTCATAGACTTGGCCTAGACCTGCTGTTCAGCTGGCAAGAAGGCAGTGCTTGAGCGCTTTGTAAGAAAACAGGGCACCAGACAGTTTTATTTTTCCCTTCAACACGCAAGTCTTATTTTCATTGTGAATTTTAAATTCATCCTGGCTTCTTTAGTTTTTCTTTCTTACCTTCCCCCACCTCCCTGTACAGTACTGAGTATTGAACCTAGGGCCTTCGCCCTGAGCTACATTTCAAACCCTTGGTTTTAGTTTTATTTTGAGGCAGGGTTTCCCTAAGTCTCTATGTTCTCCAGGCTGAGCTTGAATTTGTAATCCTCCGGCCTCAGCCTTCCAGAGTCCTGATTACAGTCATGCACAACCATGCCTAGCACAGGCATTTTTTTTAAGTTAGAGCAAAATGTCTAAAATTCAACAGCATACATTTACTAAAGCAACTGTGTGGATGTACAATGTTTATTTACTAGGAGTCAGCCATCCATTAAGTGAGACACTATTCAGTGTGATGCCGAAATTCTAAGCTAGGTTAAACCCTGAAGGAGAAGGTTTGTGAGGTAGGGTCAGGGTATTTGAAATTTATTAAATCTAATTTTGTGTTGAGTGGAATTTGCGTGTGTGTGTGTGTGTGTGTGTGTGTGTGTGTACACAAAAGCTTGGAAGGTTATAACTCATCTTCAAGATAACTTTTTTCCTTTTGTGTCCCATATGTAGGTGTGCTACAGAGGATACAAGAAATAGAAGATCGGCAATATTAACAATAACGGGAATGATGCTCTTCATCTTTATCGCTGTCTTATGGGAAGAAATAATTCTTACACTGTCAAGGTGATGCTGTTTCATCGATAAAATGGGAATAATGTAGATTTTTAAAACTTATATTCCATCTTTAGAACACCAAATACCACTGTAACCACCACTTACTCTAAATGACAAATACTGGTGCTTAGCACTGATCTTAGAAAACAATACCCACCGATTTAGAATTTCTAGGTTCCAGCACCAGTGACAGTCTATAAATATCATCTTCTGTGTGATAGAGGTCCAGAGAGAGCTACAAGGAAAGGAAAAGGGGTAAATACTTGTGCTGGATCCTGTCTTTCTGCTCACATTGCTGGAATATTTTTCAAATTCGTCACTTAAGTCCAATGTCCAATAACTTGAATGAATGCAGAACAATAAAAATATGGCACACAGAGGTGGGAAGCAATGTAAAAAAAAGAAAAAAATCCTGTTGTGATCATTAGCTTCACTAAACCGTCACTTGGTTTGCCTCTCATATTTATGGAGCTACTCCTAAGTGCTAAGTTTTTTTGTTTTGTTTTGTTTGAGACAGTGTCTCACTGTGTAGTTCAGGCTGGCCTTGAACTTGCAGCAGTCCTCCTGCCTCAGCCTCCCGAGTGCTAGGAGTACAGGTGTTTGCCACCAAGCCTCTAAGCACTAAATTCTGAGCAACAGACAAAGGAAACTTGAGGTTTTCACACTCAAGGCAAGGACAGACGCATAGAGTAATACCTATAAATGTAATAAATGCTGCCTTCAAAGCTCGATTAAGGATCTGGGGAAATAAAGAAGAATTAACACAGTTTCTAGTTCTCTCTCTCTATTAACACAGTTTCTAGTTCTCTCTCTCTCTCTCTCTCTTTTTTTTTTTTTTTTTTTTTTTTTTTTTTGTACCAGGGATCAAACTCAGGACCTTACGCTTGCAAAGCAGGCAGAGGAACCACTGAGCTACATCCCTGGCCCAGTTTCTATCTTTTTTGAACACTGTGCTAAGTCCTGGTGATTCACAGTACTATAAAATTATTCCCTGCCCTGAAGAGTAAGTGTTGGGGTAAGACTTAAAACACAAAAAGCCATGTTCACACCAAGCACGCTAAATGTGAGGTGGGTTGTCCCACTCCAAAAGCTCCAGGAGTCCTTCAGGGAGGCAGCACAGTGAGTGTGTAAGAGCAGAGGTTCTGTGGAGCAGCCCAGCTTTGAATACTGGCCTTGGGAGCCAGCCCATTAAGTAAAAAATGGGTGGGATGCACAGAAGTGATTTCCCCCAGCCCTGGAGACTGAACCCAGGGTTCCTGTGTGCCAGGCAAGTGCTGTACCACTGGGCTCCTTCCCCAGCCCTTTTTACTTTGAGTCAGGGTCTCACTGAGTTGTCCCAGCTGGACTTGAACTTGCACTCCTCCTGCCTCAGTCTCCTGAGTAGCTGGGATTACAGGCATGTGTCACTGAGCCCAACTTGAAGAGGAATCTTTTGATAGAGTAGTGCAATGATACGACAATGTATTATTTGGGGAAGGAAAAAAATGAGAGTCTGTAGGCACAAATAACCTAGAGATCTCGCCTCTCAGCTCCACGGCAGGAGAGAAGATGTGTGATGGCCAGCGGGATCTGACACCAGCTCTCTGTCAGGGCAGCAATTGGGAGGTCTGATCTGTGACAACTGGGGCAGCCACTACTGAACACGGCGAATGGGTGACAGCCTGACAACTGATGTCGGGTTGGCAAACTCTTCCGATTTGTCAAGTCAGAACCTGGAACTTCCTATGAAATAGCACCATATTTAAACCCCAGCAATGGCAACCCATTTTTAGAATTCCACACACGCGGAATAAAATATATTTGCCCCAGGCAGTTGCCCACCATTTGTTGAATCCCTCAGCAGATGACTGTTAAGCTTGAAGCCTCTTGAAAGTGGGTAGCCCATCTGTCTTTGCCATATTCGTGCCCTCTTCCCAGCTTGTGGGCTCACAGTTTGGGAGGCTCCACAAAGAGACAAAAAAAAAAAAAAACCAGTGACTTCTTCCTGCAGAATTCTTTGCCATCAGGAGTTAATCTGGACCTTGAGGAGCAAGGTCCTCCTGATTCAGCTTCCGAGTCCTGGGGCGACTGATGAGACAACAGAAGCACCAGGACAGCCAAGCAGAAACCCAAGGGAGCCGCACACTCAGTCAGGAGATGCTTCTTCCAAAGAAACAAAGCCTTCTTGGGTATTTTTCCATGTTAACTGGACAACGGATGCCTAGACGTGGCAAGGGTTTTGTCTTCTCCATATGTTTGTTTTCTCCTAATGAGGAGTGTGAATCTGGACAAGCAGTTAACCCCCCTGAGTTTCAATCTCCTGATCTGTAAAAGCACCAACAAGAGCTCCCCCAACTGGGACGGTGGTGAAGGGTAAATGAGCTAATGAGGGTCTGATCCGGTTGCTTCGAAGGCCACAACTGCAGGGTTTGGCTCCAGTTGGTGCAGCAGCCAGAGGCTGTGACAGGCTGCTTATGTGCGAAGGGGAAGCTGCGCTTGGGGCTACTGCGGCCCTTGCTGCTTTGCCACCTACAATCACACCTCCTGTCTCAGGTCTTTGGGCTTCAAGGAGCTGCCCAAAGAGCGATTGATTCTATGTTCTATGCACCCTTTTGACACTAGCGACAGCTTCTCAGCGTAGTTCAAGAATATCTGCTGAGCCAGGGGTGGTGGCGCACACCTGTCATCCCAGCACTCAGGTGGCTGAGGAAGGAGAATCGCTGTGAGTTCGAGATCAGCCCGGGCTACATAGTGAGTTCCAGGTCAGTCTCCACTACACAGTGAGACCCTGTCTCAAAAACAAACAAACAACAACAACAACAACAAAAGAATATCTGCTGACTCTGGATGCTTCTGATAAGTGTTCCGCTCCATTTACTGGGCAATCCTTTCAGCAAAGATGGTTACGGATTTAGTCTTCATGTTAGGAAGCACTTTGGCGTCAGTGTTCATTGTAAAATAAAATACGCCTGCATGACAAATCCCCGCCACTCATCAGTTTTGCAACTCTTCCCCTTTTTTTAAAAAATGAGACTGTGAAAATACAGGGGCTTTCCAGTTATTTGCATACCCTCAGAACAGTAAAAGTAACCGATAAGGCTAAAAATACTATGAAAAGAATTATACTGCTTTGTGTATCATGAAACAGAAGCCTTGGGTTTCAAAGCTCCTGGTTCCAGATGGTCCCTGAAAGAAGAAACTGCCCCAGTCTGACACCTTGGGGCGTGGCCCTCCTTCCTTCACGTGTCTTGTGGTCTGCCACCCACAACCCAGGGACACAGTGGGGCCAAGGACGTAATGGTCAAGGTGACATAGTTCTGCCCGCTTAAGTCTTGTCCTCTAATTAATCCTTTCACTGCACATCTTCCGAAGAGGGATGGAGAGAAGTCTCACTGTCACTGTGGTCCTGGGGAGTGAACTCAGGCTCTTCATGCTGAGCCGTACTCCCAGTCCTTTTGTTTATTTTTTATTTTGATTCAGGGTCTTGCTAACTTGCTAAGTTGTTTAAGTTAGGCTCAAACTTGCAGTCCTCCTGCTTCAGCGTCCCAGAGCGTTGTGATTACAGGCCTGCACCACTGTGCCAGGCGAGAGGTAGAGAAGTATTATTTTGTACAGAAATGAAATAAAGTAAATTAGTTGTTCATGGTATGCCTACATTGGAGATAAAATGCCCATCCAAAGCAAACCTTCTGCTACAGTTAGGATCTTTGTGCCTCTGTGTGTGTGCGTGCGTTACGTCCCCAGCTCTTTAAAAAGCCTTATTACTTTGAGACAGGTTTTCCTAAGTTGATAAATGGCTCAGTGACCTTGCAATGCACCTGCCTCAGCCTCCAGGAGTGCTGGATTACAAATATGCACCACCACACTCAGCTAGTTTGGATCTTCAATGTCCCCTAAAGGCCCAAGTGAGCTGTTGCTACCTCACGGAAGGTCTAAGAGGTAGGGCTGTGGTGAACTTTAGAACACTGGGACATAACCTTGAAGGGAACTGTGGGGCTACAGCCATTTCTTCTTCTTCCCTCTCTTTGCTTCCTGGCCATGAGAGATCAGTAGCTTTTCTCTGCCTTGTGTAGTTGCCAAGATTGCTGTTCCCACAGGACAAAAAAACTTCCTATACAGTGACCTGAATGGAACTCCTCCTCCTCTTCTCCTTCTTCTTCTTCTTCTTCTTCTTCTTCTTCTTCTTCTTCTTCTTCTTCTTCTTCTTCTTCTTCTTCTCCTTCTCCTTCTCCTTCTCCTTCTCCTTCTCCTTCTCCTTCTCCTTCTCCTTCTCCTTCTCCTTCTCCTTCTCCTTCTCCTTCTCCTTCTCCTTCTCCTTCTCCTTCTCCTTCTCCTTCTCCTTCTCCTTCTCCTTC